TAGTAATGGAATGGCTGGGTCAAATGGTATTTCTAATTCCAACTTTTTAAGGAATCACCATACTGCTTTCCACAGTGGTTATATCATTTTAGAGTCCCACCAGCAGTGTATGAAAGTTCCAATCTCTCTGCATCCTCACCAGTATTTGTTATTTTCTCTCTTGTTGAAATTTGCTATTAGTGCTGAGGCAAGATGGTATCTCATTGTTGTTTTGATTTGCATCTCTCTAAAGGCTAATGATCGTGAATATTTCTTCATGTGTTTGTTGCCCGCCTGAACATCCTCTTTAGTGAAGTGTCTTTTGACCAATGTTTTATCTCAGAACTTCAAACAGATTTTTAGCAACCCTTAATCCTAGGTGTAGGGCAACTTCTAAGAAAAATGCAAGATACAGATAAAATATATACGTATTTTTTACTTATCAACTATCTCATTATCCATTATTTTGCATTTACAACAGGAACAGAAGCTGAAATAAGACATAGACCTTCCCCCAGAGCCAACAGAGAGAAGAAGCTTTTCCCTAAAGCCAGCACCTTGAATTCGGACTTCTAGACTTCTAAACTGTGAGAAAATAATTTCTATTAGTGAAAGCCACTCATTTGTAGCATGGTCTATCTGTGACAGCAGCACTAGATAATGGAGATAAGAATCTTTACCAAGTCTCAACAAATTTGAAGGAATTCAAACCTTACAGAGTAGTTATCCAGTCATAGTGGAATTAAATAGAAATCAATAACCAATAATAAATGTTTCCAAACTCACCATCTAAGTAGCCATGGCCCAAGAAACCAAATCACAAAGACAACATGCAAATGTTTTTAACTGAATGGTAATGAACACATGACTTCAAAAACCTAAAATCATAAAAAAAAATCTACTATCCAACTCTGTTGTGCATTAACGATATACAACTGATAGTACATCACCATCAGTCACTCCTCAGAAGGAAGACTGAGCAATCTACTTCCGTAGTAATACCGCCTCGGCAACCCAAGGAGGGGTCGCCATGAGTCAGGGCCGACTCAATGGCACATAACAACAACAACTGATAGTAAGAAATGCCAGAGTTCAAGGCAAGAGTAATGTTGACTGTGGAGGTTAAGATTATGTGTCAGCTTGGCTGGACCATGATTCTCACTGGTTGCTAGTTATGTAATGATGTAGTCATCCTCCATTTTGTGATCTGGTGTGGTCCTCCTCCATTTTCACATAAAGCCAACTTTGGCATAACAACCTGGTCTTTGAAACCTAATCATGTTGATAAGTGAGTAGTGAGGGTAGATAGCCATAACATATATCATTATGATTAAATATATATTGTGTGTGAATTTTATGTTTTCTGGACTTAAGTACTTAATATAAGGTAAAAAAATCACCTCTTAATTTAGAATAAAAATATATCCAAAGCTGAACAATTTCATCTGAAATATTAATTATGAGTCACCTTCAGTGTCAGGACATATGTAAATCTGTTATTTTTGTTACAAATATGCTAAGGAGAAAGCAACCCAGTAGTCAGAAATCAATGTTAATGAAAATTTCCACTGCATTTTTGGCACATGCTCTTAAAACTTAAACTCCAAAGGAAAGGTGGTTGTATTTATTCATATTTGTTTCTATTTGTCTCTGAATTATTTAACAGTTTCATAAAAGGAGTTCTGGTGGTGTTGTGCTTAAAGCATTGGGTTGCTAACCAAAAGGTTGACAGTTCCAACCCATCAGCTGCTCTGTGATAAAAAGATGAGGCAGTCTGCTTCTGTAAAGATTTATAGCCTTGGAAACCCTATGGGGGCAGTTCTACTCTGTCCTATAGGTTGCTATGAATCAGAATCAACTCTATGGCAGTTGGCAGTGGGTTAGTTTCACAAAGTAAAGTGCCAAAGTCATTGCATGGCCCACAAGGCCCTTCATGATCTTCTCCTTGCCCTGCCCCTCTCCTCTCTGACTTCATCTACTACTACTCACACTCATTTACTCCCCTCAACCACAGTGCCTTCCTGCTGTTCCTTAAGCTTAGGGCTTCTGCACTGCTGTTCTCTCTGTTTAGAATCCTCTTTCCCCAGAGAAATATCTAGATTGCCATCTCTTTCAAATCTTTGCTCAAATGTCACCCTTTCAATGTAGCCTACCCAATCTTCATTTAATATTGCAACCTACCATCCCCCACCAGCACTCTCAAACTCCTCTTATCCTATTCTGCTATCCCAATGTACTCTGATGTACACCAAGCAAGTAGAGTAGTTGAGCTATTCTAGTAGGTGTCCAATACTTAATGAGAGAATGAAAAATGATTTGACACACATGACAGTAGAAATGCATACACTGCATATAAACAAATATATTGAATAATACAATATAAAGATGAATGTAAAATCAGACATCAGAGAAGGTCTGAAGGTGAATAAAGTATCAATTATGAATTGAAGTTTCTGTAACAGGACTTCCTGTAGTCATGTAGCCATATTAATATAAACCAAACTCACTGCCGTCGAGTCATTTCTGACTCATAGCAACCTCTATTTGGGTTTCTAAGGCTGTAAATCTTTATGGAAAAAGATCTCCCTGTCTTCCTTCCATGGAGCACGTGGTGGGTTTGAACCACTGACCTTCCTGTTAGCAGTCAAGTGCCTTATCACTATACCACCAGAGCTCCAAAAATGAAATTCACTGTCATTGAGTTGATCCCTATTCATAGTGACGCCCTTTGGGTTTCCTAGGCAGTAAATCTTTACAGAAGTAGATTGCCCAGTCTTCCTTCCATGGAGTGGCTGGTGGGTTTGAACTGCCAACCTTCTGGTTAGCAGTCAAATGCCTCAGGCACCATGGGACCAGAGCTCCTTATGTTAACATACATATGTGCATATATGTGTAAGTAGATAGATAGTAGATAGATAGATAGATCTAATATACATAAACTTTGGAAGAGAACTTTTTTCTAGAACTAAATTCTGGGAGGAATTTATTATGCTTTTCAGTATATAAAAATATATGCATCCATATATAAAAGACATTGAGTAATGAGAAAAAAAATCCAAAAACATTTTGTAGAAGATGCAGTAATATTATTCCTGTGGTCATTTCCTATGGTGATCTTCACAGTCAGTGGCATAATACTGAATTACAACTCCTTCTGCCTTAGAAGCATCATGAGTATGTCGTATACAGAGGGCAATTTCTATGGAACTACTACAATTTTCATCTGTACTTTTGAAGTTTCTCAACATTTCATTTTATATATTAAAATATACTTACTTCTTTCACATTTGTTGTAGAATTCTCTGTATATTTCACTTGATATTTAAGTTGAAATGGTACTGATGTTGGGCTGGACCAAGATATCTTTAAGTTACCATTGTCTGTGATTTCCATATGCAAACCTAATGGTGGATCAGGCTTCACTTAAGAAAAAAAAAAGGAAAATTTTTATGTCAAACAATTTTCACAATAAGTATGTCTGAGTAAAATGAAGTCACAATTAATTTTCAGCAAATCTTCATCTGTCAACTACGTAAAAGTTGACTTTATTCAAGACTTGTCAAGACCTATTAACCAACCTAAACCAAACCATACTGTGTCCACCACTAATAGTCTTATTGTGTCCACCACTAAAGCCTTATCATAGAAATCCATGCATCTTCATTTCTTTTTCCCAAATGGTAAAAAATGTAAGTCAATAAAGAAGGTTATTTTCATGGATGTGAAATTAAAAAAAAAAAAAAAAAGTCTGCTTAACTTTACTTAATCCAGTGTTTCTGAAACTTATTTGAATCCTGTCCTTCTCTCCAAGCCAGTCATTTTAGTGAGTACTAAGGAAAAAATTCATTTTGCAGACCACTGTTTGGGAAACCCACTATTCATCTGTCAGTTTGGCTTACGTGTTGCTGTGATGCTGGAAGCTATGCCACCAGCATTTCAAATACCAGCAGGGTCAACAATGGTGGACAGGTTTCAGTGGAGCTTCCAGACTAAGACAGACTAGGAAGAAAGATATGGAATCCACTCCTGAAAAAATTGGCTACTGAAAGCCTTTTGGATAGCAGTGAAATATAGTTTGATAGCACCAGAAGATGAGCCCTTCAGGTTGGGAAAGTACTCAAAATACAACTAGGGAAGAGCTGCCTCCTCAAAGTAGAGTCGACCATAATGGTGTGGATGGAGTAAAGCTTTCAGGACCTTCATTTGTTGATATGGCTGGACTCAAAATGAGGAGAAACAGCTGTAAAAATCCATTAGTAATCAGAGCAAGGAATGTATGATGTATGAATCTAGGAAAATTGGAAGCTGTCAAAAATGAAATAGAACACACAAATATCAATATCCTAGGCATTAGTGAGATGAAATGGACTAGCACTGGTCATTTTGAATCAGACAATTATATTGTTTTCTATGTTGGGAATCACAAATTAAAGAGGAATGGCATCATATTCATTGTCAAAAAGAACATTTCAAGATCTGTACTGAAGTGCCATACTGTCAGCAATAGGATAATATCTATATGCCTAAAAAGAAGACCAGTGTATGTGATTATTATTCAAATTTATGTACCAACCATTAAAGCCAATGTTTTGGTTACTTCATGCCACTCTAACAGAAAATACCACAAATGGGATGGTTTGAACAAGCAGGAGTTTATTCTCTTACAATTTTGGAGGCAAGAAGTCCGAGTTCAAAGTGCCAGGCTCTAGGGGCTGGGTGAAAGCTCCTCAACATTGGGCTTCAGCTCTGCTTCCTGCTCCTGAACCACTGAAGCTGGAGGCTTTTCTTTACTCAGGCAGCTGCTGGCTGCTGAGGCTGACAAACCCAAAGTCAACAAGGAAAAAGACACAGTCCCAATATTACCAAACAACATGGCAGGCCACTAATTCAAGTCTAGAGAAACTTCCAAGTTCAGCAGGGCATGGCAGGCTGCTGAACAATGACTTGGCTACATGCAGGGTTCAAGCATGCCAAAGAGCTTGAGACCTTTCTCAAAGCATTTTCTTACATACTGTAAGCAGACCACATCCCTAAAGCAGCTACTCAGCTGCTCCAGTAGATTCCACCACGGAGTTGATTACCAATCTCACCATAGGGAATAACTACATCTAGCTGCCCAGTCACTCAAAACCAGGTCCAGCTAAGCTGACACATAACCTTAGCTACCACAGCCAGAGATGAAGAAATTGAAAATTTTTACTACCTTCTGCAGTCTGAAACTGACCAAACATACAATCAAGATTCATTGATAATCACTGGTGATTGGAATGGGCAAGTTAGAAACAAAGAAGAAGCAGCAGTATTTGGAAAATATGGCCTTGGTGACAGAAATGACACTACAGATTGCATGATAGAATTTTGAAGACCAATGACTTATCCATTGAGAATACTTTCTCAACAACATTAATGGCAACTATACATGTGGACCTTGCTAAATGGAACACACAGGAATCAAACTGATTACATCTGTGGAAAGAGACTATGAAGAAACTTAATATCACCAAACAGAACAAGGCCAGGGCTAAAAGTGGAACGGATGATCAATTGCTCATATGCAACCTTAAGTTGAAGCAGAAGAAAATTAAAACAAGCCCACAAGACCCAAAATATGACATTGAATATATCCCACCTAAACTTAGAGACCCTCTGAAGAACAGACTTGATACACTGAACACCAATGATGGAAGACCAGATGAGTTATGGGATGACATCAAGGGCAGCATACATGGAGAAAGTAAAAGGTCATTAAAAAGAAAGAAAAGACCAAAATGGATGCCAGAAGAGACTTTGAAACTTGCTGTTGAACAGAGTAGCTAAAGCAAAAGTAAATGGAAGAAATGATAAAGCACAAGAACTGAACAGAAGATTTCAAAGGGTGGCTAGAGAAGACAAAGGATTATAATGAAATGTGCAAAGACCTGGAGTTAGAAAATCAAGAGAGAAGAACACTCGATATTTCTCAAGCTGAAAGAGCTAAAGAAAAAATTCAAGTCTTGACTTGTAATACTGAAGAATTCTATGGGCAAAATAGTGAATGATGCAGGAAGTATCAAAATAAGATGGAAGGAATACAGAGTCAGAGTACCAAAAATAATTGATCAACATTCAACCATTTCAGGAGGTAACATATGATCAAGAACTGATAATATTGAGGGAAAAAAGCATACACTGCACTGAAGAAATTGGCAAAAAACATGGTTTCAGGAATTGATGGAATACGCATTGAGATGTTTCAAAAAATGGATTCAATGCTGGAAGCCCTCACCTGCTTATACCGAGAAATTAGGAAGACAGTTACCTGGCCAACCAATTGGAAGAGATCAATAATTTGTGCCCATTCCAAAGAAAAGGTGATCTGACAGAATACAGATTTATCAAACAATATCATTAATATCACATGCAAGTAAAATTTTGCTGAAAATAATTTAAAAATGGTTGCAGCAGTATGTCAACAGGGAACTGCCAGAAATTCAAGCCAGATTGAAGAGAACATGGAATAAGGGTTATCATTGCTGACATCAGACAGATCTTGGCTGAAATCAAAGAATCCAAAAAACACATTTACCTGTGTTTTGTTGACTATGTAAAGGTATTTGACTGTGTAGATCATAAAAAATTATGGATAACATTGCAAATGGGAATTCCAGAGCACTTAATTGTGCTCATGAGGAATTTTTACATAGACAAAGAATAGTCATTCAAACAGAACAGAGGGGATACTGCACGGTTTTAAATCAGGAAAGGAGTGTGTCAGAGTTTCACCATACTTATACAATACGTATGCTGAGCAAGCGATCAAGAAGCTGCACCAAGTGTAGAAGAATGCAACATCAGGATTCGAGGACGAATCATTAATAACTCGAGATGTGGATGACAGAAGCTTGCTTGCTGTAAGTGAAGAAGTCTTGAAGTATTTATTGACGAAGATCAAAAACAACAGCCTTCAGTATGGATTATGCCTCAACATAAAGAAAATAAAAATCCTCTCCACTGGCCTAATAAACAACATCATGAAAAATGAAGAAAAGATTGAAGTTGTCAGGGATTTCATTTTACTTGGATCCACAATCAACACTCATGGAAGCAGCAGTCAAGAAATCAAATGATGTATTGCACTGAGAAAATCTGCTGCCAAAGACCTCTTTAGAGTGTTAAAGGGCAAAAATGCCACTTTGAAGATTAAGGTACACCTCACCCAAACCCCACTTCATATACATATGAAAGCTGGACAATGAATAAGGAAGACAAATGAATTGTAATGTTGGCAAAGAATATTGAAAATACCAAGGACTACCAGCAGAATAAACAAAACTGTCTTAGAAGAAGTATAGCTGGAATGCTCGTTAGAAATGAGAATGGCCAGACTTCATCTCACTTACTTTGGCCATGTTATCAGAAGGGACCAGTCCCTGGAGAAGGATATCATGATTGGCAAAATAGAAGGTCAGTGAAAAAGGGGAAAACCCTCAATGAGATGGATTGATACAGTGTCTGCAGTGATAGGCTCAAACATAACAATGATTGTGAGGATGGCAGGTGTTTGTTTCTGTCTCTATGAGTCACAGCTGACTTGGTGGCATGTAACAGCAACAATAACAATTTGGGAAAGGCATAGAACTATCCAAAGTCCCACAAATCTATTCATTTTGAACTACAACAATCCATACTTACTCAAATAGCCCATGGCATGAAAATTTTCCATGCAATAAATGGAACACTAATAGTTTCTGGCTTGTCAGTAGGAATGGGAATGAAGCTTCTTAGCCTAATATGGAGTTTAACTTCAGAAATGATTTCTGAGTTCAAATACGTGTGTGTGTGTGTGCGTGTGTGTATTATATATAACTCTAAAATTCATTGCCATCGAGTCAGATCCAACTCATAGTGACCCCTCCTTGGGTTTCCAAGGTGGTATCTCTATGAAAGTAGATTGCCCAATCTTCCTTCTGAGGACCGGCTGGTGGGTTTGAACTGCCAGCTTTCTGGTTAGCACTCAAATGCCTTAGGCACTATGCCACCAGAGTTCCTGTATTATTTATATAT